CCTGTCACCACACATTTCATGCTTTGGCTTAGTTCTACCTTCAGAAAGGGAAGAATTCTGAAATAAGGTGTATTTCACAGGAATGAGAATGTGAAATAAATAGTGAAATCAAATCCAAGTTTCGCTGTATATTTAAGGTCAAAATGAGATTTTAGACAATCCCATTGTCTGTTGTACCATTCCTGCCAGCTAAGAATGGGATTACTGCTGATTAAATTTTTCACAGCATTTCATTAGATGAAGAAATGAATAATTACTCATCTCTCTTCAAAGCTGGGCATCTACAACCAAGAAGGGAAGATCAACACAAAACAAGACTTGTTTTTTTGTGCTAAATGTTCAACTTTATAGCTAGGCAAATAGGCTACACGTAAGTCAATAGCACGGCAGCAGCTTTTTTCTTACTCTTTGATTTCTGTGACTATCACAAGATGAAGAAAACCATTAGCAGCTCTGCACAGCTCTGTGCAATGGTTTAATTGTGTGTGGAGCAGGACTGAGTATGCTGAATTAGTTCACAGAGAGCAGATAATAAATGAGGGAAGGGAGACTGACTCCCAACTGAATAGTTTATTGCTGTGGCCCATGTTTTTAATCCACAAGAATAGGAGATTGCTGGCTTTAGTTACACTTTCAGTAGATGAATTACACACTTGGTGGCGGCTCCCGTTTGACATGTAATAATTGATACTTCTCTGCTTACTTGCAAATGAGTGTAATAGCAGAGAGCTACCTGAAACAGAAGGCAAAAAGTCTGTCATCTTAGATAAACCTGACATGCATTCAATGCTGAGAAGCTTTTGCTGTATAACATTTTAGTGTATTCTTATTTTTCTCCTCATTTCCTGGATGCAAATTACTTGTGGACCTTTTAGCCCAGATCACGGGGTTCTGCAGCTGTTCCAGCTGTATGAGCTCAGAGCAAATCTCAGGCTCTGGGGCAAGCAGGAGCAATTTTAGGACAGCCTCTTGGCACTTCCCATGTCCCAGGGCTATCGGTGCTTGGTGTCAGATGTTGCCTCCTTGGGAAGAGGACAGTGGTGAGCAGGAGTCAGGCCTCCATGGCTGCAAAACGCACCAGTTATTCCAGCTTGTTCCTCATCCTTGAGTGGATCGTGGCAAGTATTTGTGCCCACGTCTGTGTGCTTACCTACACATGGCAGGTGAATGTTTTTGTAAATGCACTTTCTCACTGCTGAAGGCTTAGGTCCCATTCAAGACTCTTGCAAGGGGTATCAAATTCTTAGAAGCCCATTGTCTGACCTCTTTCTTTTGGAATATTTATTAGTGTACAACTGCTACAGACTTACTCAAAGTATCAGGAGTAGCAGCAGCAGTAGCTAACTATTACTGGTGTGCAGACTTACTGTTTTTAAGGCACCAGAGTAATTAGCTATTTTGATCCTTGGTTGATTGCAATTTATACTCAAATATAAACATCACTTAATGAACTTTGCAAAAAGTAAGGGCTCTACACCACTGTTATGTAGGGCAGCTCCATATCTACATGGTGATATTCTTCCTGCGTTAGCATAATTAAATTTCAAGTAACGTTGGCTAGAGACGGAGTTTGCTTTATTGCATCTCTCAAAAGAATGTGTGTCAGGCAGCATAAGAGAGTGGAAAAAGTCTGTCTGGAAGCAGGCGGCGTGCTGTGGCGTATTGCGTTTCGCTGACATGAGAGGAATGTGGCAGTGAGGTCTACGGTTGCCTGCTGCAGGCACTAGCACTCAGGCTGAAAAGCAGCTTGGGATGTGCCTTTTGCTTCATTAAGCAAAAGGCTTTATGCCTGTGGCATGAAGTGCTATAAAACACGATGGAAGTATTACAGTCTATGTTGTTAGACAGTATTGCAGTCTCAGACATCTAAAATCACAAGCCAGATATTCCAACAACAAAAAAACCTGTCTAGAAATTAGGGATATGGGGGTTTTAAACTCTTTATTTTATTTCTCAAGATTCATTTTGTTTTGACTGAGAGCTGAGATCTTCTCCAGACTTCAAGGCATTAAGAAAAACACCAAATTTCAAAAAACTTGCAAAAAAAAAGGTCATAAAAGTTTCTGAACAGTGAGTCAGGCATCTTCTGGAGAAGCTGTGTGATTGTATGAGCTTTGTCATTGTAAATAGGATCTAAAATCCAGGGATGCAAAATGCAGGTCAAGCTTCTGGCACGTGCAGTTTAGTTGAGGTTTGCTTACCTTTAGCAAATGTCACTAACTGTGCTGGCTCACGTTACTGAGCAGTTGGCCAAAACAAACCAAACCAAAAAAAAAACAGCCTAGAAAGCCTGTGTTGTGAGTGAGAGCCACGGTGAGACAGTTTGTAGACCTCGTTGCAGCCAGTTACCTGCAGCTGATCCGTACCTGGTGTAGCTTCTGCAGCCTCCCCAGGTTTGGGGTCAGTAGTGGGACTCCTGTTTGCAGGGACAAGCGTGTTGTGCTGAGGGATGCTTTAATTTCCTTGCGTTGACTGTGCCTGCCAAAGAAATGTCAGTGCCGAGCCCTTCCCTGTAAGGAAAGGTGTAAGGGGTGGTGATGGCTGAGTTTTTCTCCCCGCATTACTGAAGCGACAAGCTGTAGCTTGAGGATTTTGAACTGCTGCACTGTTAGCAAGCAAGGAGCGGGGAGCATTCATGTTTCTAGGCACTTTCACAGCACTGGAAAATCAATGTCAGGGCACAGGCAAGGGCATTTTTAGGATCCTTTGTTCGTTGTTCCTACTGGCCTGCACTTCAGTCTCAAAGGCAAACTACAAAGCTCTTTCCAACTAACTTGGAAAGACTGGGATCCAAGAATTCGAATAATGGTGTAGGATTTGTAAGGTTAATCTCGAGTTTGCTGGTTTGGGAAGCGGGTGCTCCTGTGCATAGGTCAGACAGTAGGTGAACTGTAAATCTGCTTCTGTTCTGTCTGCCTGTCTTGAGCTCAGCTTAGATCCTTTTCTGCTGTGCAACCTTAGAAGAAGCTACAATTCTTGAAATAACATTTCAGCACCGTAAATACTTCTCATTTGATGCCGTGACATTTGGTGTTGGCAGCTCAGCCTGTCCCTTCGGTGTGTGTGTGGCTGTCACCATGCAGCCAGTCCTCCTTTGCTGCACAGCTGGTTCAGATGAAAATCACCTTTCTCCCAGGAGTGCTCTAAGCAGCTGTTTAACACGGTGAGGCCTCAGGAACTCTATCATGCAAATACAAACTTGAGCTTAGGTCAACATTTAAAGCGTCGTTTTCATTGCTTTTTTTAAGAATCCTATTAGTTGTAGAGGAATGATAAATAATCAGGTGGTCTGGGACCAGATTGTTCTGGCTCAGGGAGTTGTTGTCACTGCTGATGAGGCTTTAGGTCTTGAAGGTATTAGGTGATGCACTTGTACTCTTGGATCAGGCAGTTCACTCGGTGGTTCGATGTAATTGAAGCCCACTGAAGTCTGCAGGAGACACCATTCCGTTCCTAAGGACGTTTCCTCCACCCCAGGTGGAAACATTTATAGTCAGAAGCGATGCCTTGAAATGTTTCACTGCTGTCGTATTGATAGGGAAAAAAATATACAGATATGAAGAGGTTGTGTGCATTAATTATTTATGCTGCAATCAAGAAAGTATAAAAATAATCAAAGGTGAAAATTGGGAAGGGTTGCAAAGGAAAGCACTGACTCTTTGAGTTTGAATAATGCAGACCCCACTCAAGCTTTCTCTGCGGAACATGATGTCTAATCCCAGCACCAATAAATACACATTTTTTTTCTCTAAAACAGATTTAAAAATCATGCAACACTTGAGAGAAGACTAATTGTACTCACTTAGCTTCAAGTGAATAATTAAACTGCAAGGAGTTATTATTTTTCTGGCTCCTCTGTAATGTTTCTTACTTATTAATTCTCAGATATTCAACTTTTAGACTTTTTAGCATCAATCGAGCTCTGCTTCTGTTGTCTGAAAATAAAATATGTGAAGGAAAAACTGCCACAGATTAAAATACATTGTATTATTATAGTATAAATATCATCATTGTAATTAAACCACTTGAAAATATGAACCATCAGTTTTTTTCTCTCAGGGACTCAGCCACCCATGGGATTTTTGTGCTTTGAAAAATCTCCCCGGAGATCCAGTGTGCTTTGCTTCTCCTGATTGTTCTTGAAATAAAATTAGCTTTTAGTCCTTTAAAATCAGTTGGCTTTATCTGCTGCTAAATACACACACAGTAAGTGCTGTGGGATCAAAGCAAAAACAAATTCCTCCTCCTACACTTGCAATTTTGATGAAATTTGCCGTTTGGCAAAAGTCAATAATCTGACTCCTACTGTATTTGGGATCATGGTGGATTAAGGGGGATCCCTCCAGCCTGAATCAGGAACCTGCAAGGTATCTTCAAATCAGAGGAAGGGTTCAATAGAAAAGAGACTGGAGAAGGATGGGAGAAGGCACCAGAGAAAGTGGGTGCTGAGTCCTAGGGCAGAAGTAAGGACACTGGCGTTGCTCCTTCCAGCCATTAGCCTGGCACCCTCTTAAAAGTCTCCTCTAAAAGAGATTCTGTCACCTAATGAGGATTTGGGCAGATATTTTTTCCTCTTTGGAATGTTTTCCTGATGGTTGACTCCTCCAGGTACCTTAACTTGCTGCCTTTTTGGGGAGAGTAGAGTGATGCTACACTGAGGAATACACTGAGGGGATGGGGAGGGGAAGTGCTCACGGGGTGGGAGGAAGGTGATGGAGATGAAGGGCCTGGATGGAGAGCCCTGGGAGGATTACGAGGAGAACAAAGTGTTACCCATCCAGGCTCCTTGTCATCGTGTTTATTGCTACTGATGGCTTGAAATTCCTGATATTTCTGAAATGTTTTAGACAGGTACTGAATAAGAGCAAAGTTTGGTATCTAAGCACTATGTCAGCGGTGGAGAAACTTCTCGGTCCCATCTGCAGAACTAAATAATATTAATACGTTGGCAGAAAGACGTGACCATAATGCCCTTTTCCTGTCTTTTCCTACCCTCACAGATGAACAGGAGCCAGCAGTCAGCAGTGATTCAGATATTTCACTGATTATGGCGATGGAGGTTGGACTGTCCGATGTGGAGCTTTCCACTGATCAAGACTGCGAAGAGGTGAAGTCTTGAAAAACAAACCAGAGATCCAACACTAAACTACAGGGGAGGATCACAGGGAGGGACCGAGTCAGCTTTCTAGGATTTGGACCAGTCATGCACATGCCTCCAGAGCACTGTCACTCCTGCACACTCCATTCTGAGATGGTCACGAAAAGCAATAGCAACAGTTGTGTCTGCCTGGATGCGGTTTCATCATCTTCATACGTTCATTTTGTTCACGTGGGAGATGAACGCTTCCAGTTTACCCACGGGCTTGAGAGCAGTCATGTAACTCTTCAGTGGCTCACAAATAAGCAACTGAAATGACAGCTTGAGTGTTTTTTACACTTGATCGATCGGGTTTTTGTTTCTTTTTTTTGAAGAGATGTATGTTTGTTATGTTTGTTCGTTTATAGTTTGTTATGGATGGGCACTGTGTTTTTGTTGACTGACCCCAGCTTTTTCAAGAGTTCAATCCAGAAATCCAAATTCCCGTTCACTGGTCACTTCATGATCTGCCTCCAGGATTTGTCATTGCCTTGTTGTTTCTGCATGAAGTACACGTGGCTTTGGAAGGGTGGTGCACCGGCACCTTGTATTAATGTGAACCCTGCTTTCCTTAATTAGGAGCCTTGGAAAAATATATTCTGAAAGCCTATATTTTTAAGAGAGCTCAGAATTAACAGCAGTTGCTGAGATTTGGGTTAAAACTGCTTTAAGTTGGCTTTTACTTAGAGTTCTGTTCTAGATGCGTACCGTTACAGTGTGAAGGAGAGAAAGAAAAGCTTAAAGCGTCACTCCATCCTTGTAGTCCTTTGCTATATTTTATGCTATTAGCAACTGTCAGTAAGTTAATGGCCTTTCTTCAAGTTCCAATTCAGTAGCTGGGAAAAATAAAGATCTAGGATTACATCTTGTCTTTTCTTAATTTCACAGACCAAAATCTGAGCAGTAGGCTAAAGGAGTGTCTGAGAGGTTTCCAGAGACTGCTTGTTAACAGCTGTGCTTTATGCAGATGACAAGAATATTCTCAGAAAGGGTCTGGAGTTGCTGGTATCAGTGTCAGAAATTGCTAGTGAAGCAGGAGGCAGCAGGTTGGAGCGTTTATTCCCTGGTTGGTTTGAGTTGGTTTGTTGGGTTTTATTTGTGCATTTCACTTTGTATATTTTGAGGCACTCTTTGCTGCTTCTTATCAAACACCCAGGTGGTTCCTTGCCCTCCAGAGTCCCTGTCGACACTGTTGCAAGCATAATGGAGTGCTTGCAGTTGGTATATAGATGTACCTACCAAAATGTTTGGGGTAGAGGGGAGGGAATTTAAAAATAAACAGAACTAACGTAAATCAAAGCACCTAAATAATAACGACCTGTGATGATTACTTAGTTCGTCCTGAGCTCTGCTTTCCAGGGAAAAGCTTATCCTTACTTGTTCAGCGCAATTTTGTTTTTCAGTCAAAATGCTTCACTGTGAAGAAGCATTTTTAGCTGACTGTTACACAAGAGTAAATGGTTTCTGTTGACAGTCAGATGATTTAAATCACATTACTGCCTCCTGAGTAAGTCCATAGAATCAACCAATTCATCTTACACTGAAATTTCATGGAGAGGTCAAACACTTTGACTTGATGGTGTCACGGCCACGTCTCAAAATGCAACTGTTAGGGTTCTTGCTGCATTAAATCTCCTTGTGGATTTACTCGTTAGATGTGGAGACCAACTTTGAGCCAAAATTGGGTATGTCAGATCTTATTCAGGAAGAAATGTATTTAGAACTATCTGTAAAATTTTGGCTGACTTTCTGCTGTAGTACAGGAAGAAGGAAAAATTATACTCCATGCTTTTTGGTCGTTAGAACTCGGTTCATTTTATAGCTTAATTTTTTTGATGTTTTTAGACCCTAAATTGCAGGGTAACTTTGAGGCAGAGGAGCACAGCCTAATCATCCTTCAAAACCATGATCTGGAAATGTACCGTTACATTTTTATAAGCCATAAGGACATCTCTTTAATTGAAAAGAGAGACGGGCAGCTGGAAATCTGCTTAGTTTAAAAAGAAAGTTAAGAGATCATTCCAGAGGGCACAGCTAGGTCAGTCTTGCCAATATTTGTGGTTCTGTAATTGTATTTTCTTCTTTCTTTTATGTCTTCTCTCTTCCTTGCTCACAGCGTCAGGGGAACTGATGCTGAAATTCACGCCTGCGTAAGAGAGTTTGCACAAGGTATGACAGCAGCTCCACTTAAGCTCTGGAAGTAATGCTGCAATGGGATTTAAGTGGTGCTTACACCAAATACTGGCCCTTCACACAGGGATGAAATTCATCTCAAATGACTGCAGGGGAAAGCGTGAAGCTGGTTCTAGAGAGTCAGGTCTCCCTGTGGGGAAGTACAAACACTGATACAACTTCTTCTCTAGCGCTGGAGCCTGGGTGCTGCACGTCACAGGGACATCACGAACACAGTGTCTGAGTTGTCAGCGAATCCTTTACGGTCTGCTCACTGCAGCCCGGCACACAGGCAAAAAACTCCTGGCCAGACTGTTTGCGTTTCAGAGGAGCTGTCGCAAAGTCTGCGTTTTATTTCACTAAGTGCTCTGAGCACTGTTAAGCGATAACGAGTGCAAAGCCAGGTTACAGATCACTGAAGGTATTAGGAAGGCACTTACGTAAATGTTTTATTCCGTCCTCCTTCAGAAAAGCACTTATGACTAGTTTTGTACCAAAATCACATTTTTTCTTTTGTGAGCATAATGAAGACCCTGCATCAAATGGAAATATTTTCCTAAAGGAGGACCTGGCTGATAATATTCTTTGTGTATATGACCTGTGAAATGCCTTGGGAATTTGAGGTGCTTCATAAATAATAAGACCCCCAGATGTACGTTTGTAGCATGTATGAAAGCCTTAATACTGCAGATCTGCATGCCCATAGGCATTTTTGCTTGCATGAGTCTCTCCACGGAGATTCCTCATAGGGTAAAATTAAACCTCCGGATTTGTAGCTTTGGGCAAGATTAGCCCCATCCTGAGCATTATGTGAGTCCTTGGTGCTGCTGCCTGCTAAGCTTGGGCATTAAATAGGTGAGATTCAGATGCTGGGAACACAGCACTGCCTCTTCTAAAGGGAAAGCAGCCTCCAGCATGCAGCCAGGAAAAAATAAAATCCTCTGGTGCCCTCTGACGAACAAGTGCTTGTGCACTTAATTCCGTGGCTGCTCGCCCGCGGCACCTCCTGCACAGGGCCAGTGGCCAGAGGACGGGGCAGCTCTCAGAAAGCTGCTCTCGTCATTAAGCTGATCTTGTCTCTCCGAGCTCTTCTTGTCCTGTCAGCTGAGGCTCTGCTCTCTTCTTGTCCGTGAGCGAGGCGTCGGTGGGAGAAGCATTAGCCTTAGCGAGGCTCGTCTTCACTCTGGGTTGCAGGATGAAACTTGGGCAGGCAGGGGCTGCGCGCTGGAGTATCTTTTGCTTTTCGTGGGTTTCACAAAACTGCCTTTCCCAAAGGTCTGTTCGGTAGGTAGGACAGGTAAAAAGTTACATGGGCAGGATTTTGTGCTCCCAGATGACCTACTGTTGTTAGTTGTGCAAGGCACCTGCTCGGCATCACCTCACATGGCTGACCCATTCTGGAGGGGAGACAGATCTGGCACTTGCTGAGGGCTTGTTTTGTGGGTTTTTTTGATTTTGTTTTGTTTTCTGACTGCTTTAGAGCCTCAAAAGCAGGGCTAGGACAATCATAGCACTGCGGTTCATTCTTTAAGCTTTCTGTAGAATTGAATTGTCATGTATTCATACAGAAATACATTGATATGACTGTGGAAACTATATTGTACTGAAAACAGAAGCAGCTGCCATTTTTAGACTTTTTATATAAGGGACTAAGGAGAAGGCTTTTATCGACGTATTTGGGAAAGAAAAAATGGAAATTGCATGTGATAAGAGGTCCCGCAGATCTCATTTACTTTAATAACCCCGGCATCAAATCCAGAGGAGTCATTGCAAGAAGGGCAGTACTTGATCTCCTGTTGAATGACTTGTTTGGGATGCATTCTTGTTTTGTTAACAAAATGAGCCCAAGCACCAGAGATGAATCCTGCTCTGAATTTAATCTTTATCAAAGAATATGCGATTATATGATCCAAAGTACTTGTCAAACCTGTTAACCCACCCTCTTTTCCGTCTTGCTGAATAAAAAGAAATGTTTCTCCCTTGTGAAAAATGTCTAGCTCAGAAGACATTTGTGTATAGATAGGTTGCTCTGGCAGGTATCACTTAAAAATTCTATGTGCTTTTAGTTGTCAGTACAACTGTTAGAGATTTTTCCATACAGTGCATTTTATGTGCTGTTCTTGTTAAACTCTGAGTGCAGTCATAGAATCATAGAATGTTAGGGGTTGGAAGGGACCTTGAAAGATCAGCTAGTCCAACCTAGTCCAAATCTGTCAGAGCAGGATCCCCTCATAGTATAGATTTTCCCAGAGTTTTGGCCTTACAGACTTCTTCCTTTGAGTATATGCCACAGCCCTTTGAGTATATTGTGGGATTAAAAGGCTCAAGGCTTTATATATATATATATGTGTGTGTATATATATATAGGTCAGTACTGAAATAATGATAGAGGTACTGTGTAACAGCGGGAAATGCCTTTCAGCCCAGGCTTTGTTTGTAAGAGTCATAGAATCACAGAATGGTTTGAGTTGGAAGGGACCTTAAAGATCATCTAGTTCCAACCCCCCTGCCATGGGCAGGGACACCTCCCACTAGACCAGGACAGCTCATGACTAGGCATGTAGTTTGAAATAAGCCAGGAAGAGTAATTTATAGTCTGTGCAAACCAGGAAAACCAGTAGTCGTTTATGGGTTTCTGTTTCTTCGCAATAATGGACTTATTTTTTTAAAAAAACATTAGTTGTTCATGTAGATCCCAAGGGCCAAAGTTACCAGGCTGGTAGGCATAGGGACCAGGACAAGCTGACTCCCTAAACAGAAAAGGGAGAGATTGAGTTGCTGTTGGTAGGGATCCATTTTGCAGGACTGATACCGGCAGAGAAATCCAGCCTGTACCTCCCCAGCCCCTCTCGCAGAGGGTTGCTGGGGAAGGAGGTGGTGGGTTCAAACTAAAGGCTGGGCTGCTTTTTCCCCTGCGTTTTGTGCTGCCGGTACCTCCCGCAGCAGGCTGCACCACTCTGGTTCAGCGCAGGCAAGAGGAGCCAGCCAAAGTCCAGCCTAAGGGCTTAATGGCACATAGGCCCAGGGTTTTCGGCAGGCGCAGGGCAGACGAGTTTCTTCCCAGCCAGGGCTGACTGGGATTGCTGCTTCCCTGAAGAGTACCGAGCGT